GTTGTATTGAAACCTCGAATTCAGAGGAAATAACACCACTAAATACTGAACTTCTATCATTGACAGTTATTGGTCAAATAAAATTTGTTCTCTTTTTTCATTTTTTTCTTTATTTTTGTTTTGTTGATTCGTTTTTTTTAAGTCACCTTAAAGCTGCAAAGTTACTATAAAAGTCTTAAGTTCCCATGTAAATAACTAGAAAATGCAGAGACGGAATCAACTTTATACTAATATTCTAACAGCAACACACAAGACACTAATCACAAACAACAAATGTTTTTTTTTTTTTTCTACATTTGTTAAATAAAACAATAAAACCAAATAAATCCTTGTTTGTGCCAAAGAAGTAATATATGTATTCATGTGTTACCTCAGAAATGATAAATGTATTGAGGACCAATAGGACCCGAGCACAAATGTCAGACATTATCTGACCCATATAGAATCTGCAGCATTGCTGAGCTGGGGACAGGCTTTTCTACTCAGGCTTTGTGGCTGCTTTTCAGAATAAAATGGACTGTAAGACGTCTGCACACCTTTTGTTTAGAGGAATGAAATTTACACTCTAAAAAGATAGTTTTATTAGATTTACTTAAAAAAAAGCTAAAGCACGCAGCATTTTTTGTATTCAGCTTTTAAAATAAATGACAATATATAACATGAAGCAAACTTTACTTTAAACCTTCCATTACTTCCTTTACTTAAACCTTACTGCCATTTCTGTGACACTAGAGGGTTTATTTACTAAAGCTGAGAGTCCCAAAATCAGACTCCCTCCCTTCTGCATAGAAAACCAATCAGCTTCCAGGTTTCATTGCCAAAGCTTCATTGAACAAGCTGAGGTTAGAAGCTGATTGGTTTCTATGCAGAAGGGAGTCTGATTTTGCACTCTCCAGCTTTAGTAAATAAACCCCTAGAAGTCTGTGTGGTAAAATAATGGTGACATAGTGATCTCCTCCTAGAAATAGTTCTCTTTCTGACATCCCCGGCGGCCCGAGGAGGAGATCACTATTCACCATTATGTACCATGAAGACATTATTCCTACTTTCTTCCAAATTAAACATTTATTCCGGGCCAATTTCTCCTCTTTTTTCCATATTTTTTTTAAAGTGAAATTGTACCCTACAAAATAGTATGAACTTCATCAGTTTTAAAAAAAAAATGTTCTTTTCACTTTTTATAAAACTCTCAGGCAGAGGACGGGCTGGAGAATGAACTTTCCTCACATCCCTCCATCCTTTATTATTTTAGTACTTTGTTATACTTTTCTGCATTGTTTTGGTATATAGCTTCACTTTTTACCACTTTTAAATCTCAATTTAAAATGTATTTTATTTCAAACTTGAATGACTTTCTTTTTCTGATGTGATTAATTAACAGTAGAGCAAAGTTGTGTCTCTCTGAATGATACATGGAATTCAGCTGAGGATTTCTTTTCTGTAGATATCAATCATTGGTAGCAAAAGGTTTCCCCATGAATCTCAGATGGATGCAAGAGCTAATGAGAAGTTCTTGTGTGTCTCCGGAGAAATTTGCGGGGAATTGTGTGTATTATAAATATATGAGTGTGGATAGTACAAACTGTATTGTGACCTTCCCAGGATGTCACACTAACATTTCCTGTTGTATTTCATTCAAACATTCTTCTTCAGCAAAAATGTCTACCATCAGACTTTCCAGCACTGAGCAGGACCCCTTCCAGATGAGACTCCCCTACCCCCTACCTTCTATCAGAATGGACCTCTGCCGGGGGGATCGACTGACATCATCTGTGCTGGGAGCTAAAAACAAAGGAGAATTCTTTCTTCATTTCACCCGTCTGCCTGCCCATCCTCACAGGTTATTCCATTTCCTTCATTATTTTGTAAATCCAGTTACGGGACATTCCAGTCATATGCTTTCCATTGGTAAAATCTCACAATTCCAGCTCACCACCCCCGATTGTTGTCATCCATTGGTTGTTTGTTTGTGCTTAATCTGAGGATGGTTTTTGATTCTATGTCTGAATAGAAATAATGGATACAAAATGGACTTTTTTCTGTTACAGCTAAACTCTTCCATAATACATGACATCCGATCACATTGATACCACACATTGGACGCTCGTCTGTTTCTTTTAGTGATGGAAACATGAATTAATATTTCTATGAAATGTTGTATTTTTTGTGCCACTTTTCTATCTCATCTGGTTGTTTCCTGTGTTTGATATTTTTCACTGATTAGGTAATAAAGAGTAACAGTATTAGGGAGCTCTTGTCCATAATGGGGGGTGGTACTGACACAGCTCCAGATGACCCACATTGGCTCACAACTGATATGACCCAGAAATATTTAGACAGAATAAAGGTGATTGACGCCCCTGGACCGGATGGGTAGACACCTCACGGGGCCTTAAAGAATTCAGCTCTGTCATTTCATCACATGCAAGAAGAAATATATTTGAAATATATTTTTTAAAATATACTTCCCAAATATATTGACATATAAGTTTGAAATACTACCATTTGGCCAATATTCCATATATTTCATTAAATATATATATACTGTATGTTGAAATGCGTTATTTATTACAAAATAAACATTTCTAAATATACTGTATGTCTTTAAAAATACAAATCTACATTTTTGGAATGCACTTACAAATATATGTAAAAATATATCTAAAAATGTAAAAATAATGTTTAAAATTTATATATGCCTCAAAAAAAGAAAAAAAATCTGAAGAATATATTTTTTAAAAATATGATTACCGGCGATCACCGACATGGGGGAAGGTTGCATTGTTTACCAACAGGCTCTCCTCCCTGTCAGTTTAGGCACACTGACTCGGGATGGCTGAGCAGAGTCATCCCGATCAGTGTGCTTACAGTCACACGAACACCCCCCGCCCCTTAGTAAAACCCCTTTGATTGCTCCTCATGTAAACCCTTTCCACCCCAGTGCCATTTAGTATAGTGGCAGTCAGGGGCTGACTGACAAACTCATGGGGCCCCAGGCAATAGGGGATCATGGGGCCGCCTGTGTCCTTGCCCAAACTCAATAAAGGTCCTATAAAAAAGGTACCAGGGGCATCTCATGGGGACTCCCTACTGACCCCATGGCCCTCGGGCGGCGACCCCAAGGTTCCCAAATGGTCAGTCCGCCCCTGGTGACAGTGCTTTTTTTTTAGCACTGATCACTGTATTGGTGTCACTGGGGATGTCAGTGAGACACCAAGTACAGTTCCCCCCAGTGTCCCCCCCCCAGTCCCGCTATAAGTCGCCGAGTGCCGCCCTTATTTAGTAAATTATAAAAAAATTCCAGCATATCCATACCGCCATTTTTAAATGCTATATAACTTTCACGTAAGCCAATCAATTTACACGTATTGGGATTTTTTTTTAGCAAAGACATGGAGCAGAGTACATTTTAGCCTCAATGTATGACAAATTTTGATTTTTTTACTTTTTTTACTGGTTATATTTTAATAGCAAAAAGTCAAAAAATATTTTTTTTTTAAATTGTCATTTTTTTTATAGCAAAAAAAAAATTAAAATGCACAGGGCGATCAAATAACCCAACACCACTGAAATACAGCTCAATTTGTGGGAAAAAAAGGACATAAATTTCATTTTAACATCACATCACATTTAACCCCTTGATTGCCAGGAACACGCTCATACACAATAAACCTCCATTGCTAGTATAGTGTCTGATTATCAAATATCAATATCTGATCTGATCAATATCTTTGATCAGATCAGCACTATATCAGCGTCACATTAGTATAATTGTCCCCAAAAACACAGCGTTAGCGGGATCAGCCCTGGCACCTGAAAGCACCTGTCATGTTTAGCCCCTACGCTTACCCCCCCTTCTCTCCCAGCAAGTGCAGTGTTAGTAGGTCACTGTCACTTGATACATTACATACAAAATCGCAGTGTTGGCAGGATCAGGCCTGATCTCTGCTAGTACTTGCTGGTAACTTTTGATGACCCTCATATTCAGCAGAGTGTCCAGTACTAGTGCCCGCGCTACCTTTTTTGGTGAACTGGCGAGTAACCAGCAGCCTAGTACATCCTGGTCTTTCACATACCAGCAGTGCAGTATCACTTGGGTGACATGGCGAGTCCCATAAGTCCAGTACAAGCTGGTGCAGTGGTGAGCACAAGTATTGTCCCGCAACCACCAAGAATTCACACACAGGCCCGTAGAACCCCTAGTATCCTTCCGGTTGTGCTTGCAAATCCCGATTGGCAGCCCACAAATTCTCCAGCACCCGTACTTCCCCCATTCACTGCCCAACCCGGAATTCAGGGTGTGAAACAGCAAATTTAAATCCTCCACTTTGATTTTTTTTGGAAATGTTTTTCACGGAAGATCTGTATGCATTTGATTATTGGATCAAAGCAATTTATTACAATTTATATACAACAATTTATCAGCCACCAACCCGAAAATTCAAACCTTGCCAGGACCATTCGCATAAAAACAATTATGGTTTTCATAAGTTACATTTTTTTTGGGGCCTAACCCTACAAACACGGGCATTACTAAAAGAAATGAATTGGCGGTTGTATTGGTCCGCAGACCCGATTCATCATATTGCCGTGAGTTCTCTGCTTGCCATGGCCAGGCATAGATATGAGAGTATAATGTGTTTTATGCATTTTAAACGACAATACACTCTGTCATCCTCGGTGTTGACTCCTCTGAAATTTGACCTGGCTCCACAAAGTTCAGCCCCTCGTAAATCACCATAACCAAAAATTTGCAGATGTCCTATGGCTCCCCAGCAAAAAATCTGCGTTGAGGAGTCCCTCTATTAGTTTTTTTCTGTAGTCACCTTAACCATTCAAACACTTTTCTCCCCAGTCAACGTGTGCCAAGATATGACCAGATATGGTGGTCAAGATGTGACATCTGACCTCGTGAGAGGAACAACAGGCTATTACTTATAAGTTTTCGGGATTTATGAGGGAAATGTGTTATAGTCACGTGGAGCTTCCCCTCGGATGCCCAGAACTACATGAGGGGTAAGCCAGTGGTAAGGATAGTTTTGGGATTTGGTGTCATCTTCTCCCAATGGAGGGGTATCCACTTCATACTCGTGTGGACAATTTTGTTATTCAAAGCGTTGCCACTTGGATGCAGGGCGGTATATCTAATG